TATTACGTAGTTGCCTTTACTCGTTTCGGAGATTTTTTCTGTAGATTCTGAGCTTGAATTCCGGACGATTGTTTTTGCTTCAATTTCATGTTCTTAGTTCTTTCTTTTTTATTCCTCATTTTTCCTTGTGTATTTGTTTGTTCTACTACAAGCCAACATACCCAAGGTTTTTCCAAGCGAGTATCACCATATATATATATATATATATATATATATATATATGAGTGTGTATGTGTGGTCTGATGATTGTTTGGAGCGTAAATCTAACTCTCACCATACTGTGTTGTTATCCTATTGAATCACATTGTATCTACAATTGATCTATCTCTGACGCTGAACAATCTTCCTGGTGGAGGATCAATTACATTAAATACCAAGATCAAGAATCAATACAACGAATGCCCTCCTCGTGTTTCGTGATACCGGTTTTGTTTTTCTAGCCTGGCTGCCAATCAAGGCAAGAAAATCCAATCTGCCATCTTATATAATAATAATAAAGTCTGTCGATAGCGAGAAAGACGATATCTCCTGCAGAAAATGAGAAGAATGAGAATTGAACGAATCACTTGGCCGGCATCTCCAGGCAGGAGACATAAACGCCTGAATAAGAAAAAAAAATGTATTTAGAGTGAGCGAAACAGGCTGAGACAGAATTCTATCTATCTATCTATCTATCTATCTATGCCTCGGTCTTCTCATTATCTATCTATCTCAATCGGTTCATATCTATCTATCTATCTATCTATCTATCTATCTATATATATATATATATATGTCCCGGTCTTTTCATTATCTATCTATCTCAATCGGTTCATATCTATCTATCTATCTCTCTATCTCAGTCTTTACATATCTATCTATCTATCTATCTATCTATCTATCTATCTATCTATCTATCTATGCCTCGGTCTTTTCATTATCTATCTATCTATCCGAGACAATTCATATATATATATATATATATATATATATATATATATATATATATATATATATATATATATATATATATCGGTCTTTTAATATCTCTCTTTCTTTCTATCTATGTATGTATGCGTATACCTATTTCAGTGTATTCATGTCTATCTCTATATCTCCGTCTGTTCATCTATTCTATCTATCTATCTATCTATCTATCTATCTATCTATCTATCTATCTATCTATCTATCTCCGTCTGTTCATATCTATCTATCTATCTATCTATCTATCTATCTATCTATCTATCTATCTATCTATCTATCTATCTCAGTCTGTTCATTATCTATCTATCTATCTATCTATCTATCTATCTATCTATCTATCTATCTATAATTAGAGCGAATTAAGCGGTACAGGCCCAGAAAGAATTCGGACTGGCAACGCTGTCTTCTCTCTCACTAGCAATATCAGTTATGCCAACTTCATAATCTCCTCCTGTTCATCTTTAAACTAGCGTCTGTCGAATTGGAGTTCCTGACACCGATTTCTCTGCCAACAATTACAAAACAAATGTGAAAGAATCGGCGAAACACTGTTGGTGCTTTTCCAGAATATTAAAAGAAAACATTAATCTGGTGATTTTCTGATGGCAAAGTTCCTTCAGTCAAAATTAATTAACAGCTTCAAATTGCAAAATAAAAAAAAAAAAACGAAGAATTAAAAACATTTTCGAATATTTACACCATTTAAAAAATTCTGTTTTAATCTCAATTGCCATATTCACGACGTTTCGGCCGTTGTACGCTCCTGCCTTCCTCAGGTGATTTAAGTTGGAATTTCAAACCGAACCCGTTATTTAGTCTACTGCGATAGATTGTTCTGATGGTTATAATGCAGAATATAGACATATCCCGAAGAAGGCCGCAACGTACAACGGCCGAAACGTTGTAAATATAGCAATAAAGATTAGGACAACAGTTCAAACAAAGGAGTGTAAATGGTTACAATAACTCATTTCAGAAATACAGACAGATCGTGAAGAAGATCGGAGCGTACAACGGCCGAACTGTAGTGAATATGGCAAAAAAAAAAAGACAGAAAGAAAGAAAAAAGATGAGAATAACATTACGAGCAATGTAAATAGTTTAAATAGTTAAATTACCTCATCTCCGAAATATTGACAGATCCTGAAGAAGGCCGGACGGTATAACAACCGAAACGTCGTTAATATGGCAATAAAGATGAGAACATTCCGAGCAATGTAAATAGTTTAATTAGTTAAATTACATCATCTCAGAAATATTGACAGATCCTGAAGAAGGCCAGACGCTAGAACGTTCGAAATGTTGTGAATATGACAGTAAAGATGAGAACAACATTCGGAATGTTTTCCTCATCTTTATTGCCATATTCACGACGTTTCGACCATAAATAGTTTAAATAGTTACAAAACAACACCTCAGAATTATAGCGAGATCCTGAAGAAGGCCGGACAGTATAACAGCCGAAACGTCGTGAATATGACAATAAAGATGATGACAACATTCTGAGGAATGTAAGTAGTTTAAAAAGTTAAATTAGCTCATCTCAGAAATACTGACAGATCCTGAAGAAGGCCGGACGGCAGAACAACCGAAACGTCGTTAATATGGCAATAAAGATGAAAACTTTCCGAGCAATGGTAATAGTTTAAATAATTGCAAAACCGTGTCTCAGAAATATAAACAGATTTTCGAATATTTCAAGAAAACATGGCTAAATTAATATGTTACAAAAGTCTTGAAAACATAATTCTTTTCTTCATTTATATCCAGTACCACTTCCAGTCGTGGGTCTCCACAACTTCCTTCAAGCTCTAAACAATATTTGTTCCTTGACTGCCAGTTTACACAAGCTTAGGTAAGTTACTCGCTGTTTCTGTTCGCTTTCAATTTGTCCTGAGAGTTTCATATCCTCTAAGCCCTCTTTCCTCGCCCCGAAAATTTCAACTGTCTAAGTGCACATGTCCTTTTTGCTCCCATTTTAATTAATGGGATAAAAAAGTTGCATTTAAAATCACAAAGAGACAGTTAAGGACACGTTGATCACCTGTTCCTGTCATGGTATTCTCAGCTTCCTTCTGTAGAACTAAATCTCTGTTTCCCGAAGACTTCTCACCGTTTGTGAGCAACTTGCCCAGCATTCACTGCCATATATGAAGATTGGTATTACATAGCAGTTCAGTACACTTTTCTTTGTTTTTAACGAAAATTTTCGCGTCACCTCATTGTTTGCTTGGTTTCCACAAGGCATCTTTCGCGATATCGTTTGGCCTTCGGATGTTGGTGTCATCTGCTATAACATTCCCCGGATAGTTCAATCTTGGTATTTATTAAATTCTAACCTCGGCTGTTTGTAGTTCGCGTCCTTTTTTTTTTTAATCATTTCACCCCAAGAAAGGCAATAAGTCTTTAAAACACAAAGGGTTAATGAGTGTAAAAAATATAAGAGAAAGAAATTATTAATAAAGAAACGAGGACAATAAAAGAACAAGAATTAAGAAGACAGAAGATAACGATTGACATTGCATTTAAATTTTTGAAGATCAAACTTGACTGGGAAGCAAGTAGCCGGAAAACAGTTCCATAAACAAAAAGTGTGAGAGAAAAAACCGTCATTATAGAATGTATGGTTACATCTATTCATTTCAACTGTAGAATGATGAGACCGAACTGCCAATCTAGTACTGCGTTTAAATTCGTAGTCCAGCAATCAATGCTCATTTAACAGGAAAGTGTTTATAGAAAAGACACAAGGAAGTCATTTTAGGGTGAAGGGAAAATGTGTAAACTGCGATGCATTTTGTCAAAAATCTCTAATTACATAGCAGAGGATTTTTTTCTCCTTACAACTGATATGTAGTCACTGGTGCTTTTCTCAAAATTTCTTCGTTATTCACATTTTCTATCCATGGTGCAAAAACACATTTCGATTGGCTCAAGTCTCATATTCAGGATGATTGATATTATTAGATTGTGTATATTCATTATCTATCTATCTATCTATCTATCTATCTATCTATCTATCTATCTATCTCAGTCTGCTCATATCTATCTATCTATCTATCTATCTATCTATCTATCTATCTATCTATCTGTCTGTCTGTCTTCATTGTCTATCTATCGCACTTTTCCTTCCATCTTCATTTAATATCTATCTATCTGTCTATATATCTTCATTGTATATCTATAGCCATTTTCTTTCTGTCTTCATTTAGTATCTATCTATCTATCTATCTATCTATCTATCTATATCTATCTATCTTCATTTTGTTTATTTGTTTGTTTGTTTGTTTGTTTGTTTCTTTCTTTCTTTCTATCTATCTATCTATCTATCTATCTATCTATCTATCTATCTATCTTGGGCGTGTCTCTGTGCGCGCGCGGGGGTGGGGGTATTAGATAGGGTTGGGCAAAAAGTTCGGTCGCTTGTTAAGTAGAATATTGCCTTAATAATCCGAACGAACTTTTTAGTCAACCCCAATACATCAGGTCATCTCTCATTTCTAACGAGATTTCCTTGTGTCATAATGTTTAGTTTGTGATCGGCATTTTTCGCAATTCCAAAAGCGTTTTCGGATGCATTAGTGACACGACTATTGAAATACTTTCTTGGAAAACCTTTTTAGTGAGTTTATGCCTCACTGGAACGTTTTTTTGTGTGTATTTAAAGTGAGTATTTAGATAGATAGATAGATATGAACAGAATGAGACAGACAGACAGATAGATAGATAGATAGATAGATAGATAGATAGATAGATAGATAGATAGATAGATATGAACAGAATGAGACAGACAGACAGATAGATAGATAGATAGATAGATAGATAGATAGATATGAAGAGACTGAGATAGATAGATAGATAGATAGATAGATAGATAGATAGATAGATAGATAGATAGATAGATATGAACAAAATGAGATAGATACATAAAGTATGACCAGAATGGGATAGAGGGATAAATTTATAGATGTGAAGTGATAAATATGAACAGAAGGAGGTAGAGATATATATATAGAGAGATATAAAGTTAGATAGATTTAAATAGACTGAGATAGATAGATAGATAGATAGATAGATAGATAGATAGATAGATAAAAAATTACATAGACTGAGATAGATAGATTTTGAACAGAATGAAAAATAGATGATAAACAGACTAGATAGAGATAGATATGAACATAATCAGATAGATAGATAGATAGATAGATAGATAGATAGATAGATAGATTTGAACAGAATAAGATAGATAGATAGATAGATAGATATGAACAGAATGAGACAGATAGATAGATAGATAGATAGATAGATAGATAGATAGATAAGAAACAGATTGAGATAGATAGTAAGATAGATAGATAGATGTGAAGTTTCAGAGTCATACATAGATAGATAATAAACAGATTGAGATAGATAGATAGATAATAAACAGATTGAGATAGATAGATAGATAATAAACAGATTGAGATAGATAGATAGATAGATATGAACACTCTGAGATAGATAGATAGATAGATAGATAGATAAGAAACAGATTGAGATAGATAGATGTGAAGTTTCAGAGTCATAGATAGATAGATAATAAACATCTGAGATAGATAGATATATAGATAGATAGATAGATAGATAGATAGATAGATAGATAGATGAGAGTTGAGGAATGAAATAAAATTCAAAAGTGTCGACTGCTGAGCAACAAGGGAGATAATTCCATCTCTGTCTTTGACGTTACCCGACCACAGTGCGACGTACTTTTAACTTCAAAAAACGCGCTCATCGCGTTCCTCAATGAGCCGAGCATTAAACGTTAGCCGGCAGCCTCCTCTTTGATGTTTTCCTTCCGTCTCCGTTGGGAGATGATCACTCTTGCTTGGAACCAAAAGAATAAGTAAATTCCAGTCCGAAAACACACAGGCGCACACACACACAAATACACGTATGCACAAATACACTCATACACTAAAAGGCACACGCACAAGCACACACACAGACACGAACATGCAAACATACACGCACGTATACATGAACGCATACGCAGACACGCATATGTAAAATAATAGGGTACGCTCATACACTTGGGTATACATACGCGTAGAAAGGTGCAATAAGTGGTACATATGTATATACATGAACATTCATATACATAGCTCGATCGATAAACAAATAGATAGACAGAAAGGATCAGAATGAGACAGACAGATAGATAGATAGATAGATAGATAGATAGATAGATAGATAGATAGATAGATAGATAGATTAAGTTGAAGAATTAAATTGACTTCAAAGTTTGGATGGAATTCTTCCATAAATCCTAGCCATAATATTCCAGGTTCCATAAAGAGCTAGTATTCAAATCATTTCTAATTTATTCCTATAGTAAAATCATTTGCAATGGATTTCTATAGATGCTTTTAGTATTTGCTATATCACTAGATATGGAATCATTAGAGGGAATGAAAGTTTGGATGGATTTGTTTCATAAATCCTAGCCATAATATTCCAAGTTCCATAAAGAGCTAGGATTCAAATCATGCGTTTTTTGAAGTTAAAAGTACGTCGCATTGTGGTCGGGTAACGTCAAAGACAGAGATGGAATTATCTCCCTTGTTGCTCAGCAGTCGACACTTTTGAATTTTATTTCATTCCTCAACTCTCATCTATCTATCTATCTATCTATCTATCTATCTATCTATATATCTATCTATCTCAGATGTTTATTATCTATCTATCTATGACTCTGAAACTTCACATCTATCTATCTCAATCTGTTTCTTATCTATCTATCTATCTATCTATCTATCTATCTATCTATCTATCTATCTATCTCCAGAGTGTTCATATCTATCTATCTATCTATCTATCTATCTATCTATCTATCTCAATCTGTTTATTATCTATCTATGTATGACTCTGAAACTTCACATCTATCTATCTATCTTACAATCTATCTCAATCTGTTTCTTATCTATCTATCTATCTATCTATCTATCTATCTATCTATCTATCTGTCTCATTCTGTTCATATTCTATTTATCTATCTATCTATCTATCTATCTTATTCTGTTCAAATCTATCTATCTATCTATCTATCTATCTATCTATCTATCTATCTATCTATCTATCTATCTGATTATGTTCATATCTATCTCTCTATCTCAGTCTGTTTATCATCTATTTTTCATTCTGTTCAAATCTATCTATCTCAGTCTTTTTCTTTTTATCTATCTATCTATCTATCTATCTATCTATCTATCTATCTATCTCAGTCTATTCCTATCTATCTAACTAGCTATCTCTCTAGCTATGTATCTCTCTACCTCCTTCTGTTCATATTTATCACTTCACATCTATCTATTTATCCCTCTATCCCATTCTGGTCATACTTTATGTATCTATCTCATTTTGTTCATATCTATCTATCTATCTATCTATCTATCTATCTATCTATCTATCTCAGTCTCTTCATATCTTTCTATCAATCTATCTATATATCTATCTATCTATCTATTCCTATAGTAAAATCATTTGCAATGAATTTCTATAGATGCTTTTAATATTTGCTATATCACTAGATATGGAATCATTAGAGGGAATGAAAGTTTGGATGGATTTGTTTCATAAATCCTAGCCATAATATTCCAGGTTCCATAAAGTGCTAGTATTCAAATCATTTCTAATGCATTCCTATAGTAAAATCATTTGCAATGAATTTCTATAGATGCTTTTAGTATTTGCTATATCACTAGATATGGAATCATTAGAGGAATGAAAGTTTGGATGGATTTGTTTCATAAATCCTAGCCATAATATTCCAGGTTCCATAAAGAGCTAGTATTCAAATCATTTCTAATGCATTCCTATAGTAAAATCATTTGCAATGAATTTCTATAGATGCTTTTAATATTTGCTATATCACTAGATATGGAATCATTAGAGGAATGAAAAGTTTGGATGGATTTGTTTCATAAATCCTAGCCATAATATTCCAGGTTCCATAAAGAGCTAGTATTCAAATCATTTCTAATGCATTCCTATAGTAAAATCATTTGCAAGGAATTTCTATAGATGCTTTTAGTATTTGCTATATCACTAGATATGGAATCATTAGAGGGAATGAAAGTTTGGATGGATTTGTTTCATGAATCCTAGCCATAATATTCCAGGTTCCATAAAGAGCTAGTATTCAAATCATTTCTAATGCATTCCTATAGTAAAATCATTTGCAATGAATTTCTATAGATGCTTTTAGTATTTGCTATATCACTAGATATGGAATCATTAGAGGGAATGAAAGTTTGGATGGATTTGTTTCATAAATCCTAGCCATAATATTCCAGGTTCCATAAAGAGCTATATTCAAATCATTTCTAATGCATTCCTATAGTAAAATCATTTGCAATGGATTTCTATAGATGCTTTTAGTATCTGCTATATCACTAGATATGGAATCATTAGAGGGAATGAAAGTTTGGATGGATTTGTTTCATAAATCCTATATATAATATTCCAGGTTCCATAAAGAGCTAGTATTCAAATCATTTCTAATGCATTCCTATAGTAAAATCATTTGCAATGAATTTCTATAGATGCTTTTAATATTTGCTATATCACTAGATATGGAATCATTAGAGGGAATGAAAGTTTGGATGGATTTGATTCATAAATCCTAGCCATAATATTCCAGGTTCCATAAAGAGCTAGTATTCAAATCATTTTCAATGCATTCCTATAGTAAAATCATTTGCAATGAATTTCTATAGATGCTTTTAATATTTGCTATATCACTAGATATGGAATCATTAGAGGGAATGAAAGTTTGGATGGATTTGTTTCATAAATCCTAGCCATAATATTCCAGGTTCCATAAAGAGCTAGTATTCAAATCATTTCTAATGCATTCCTATAGTAAAATCATTTGCAATGAATTTCTATAGATGCTTTTAGTATTTGCTATATCACTAGATATGGAATCATTAGAGGGAATGAAAGTTTGGATGGATTTGTTTCATGAATCCTAGCCATAATATTCCAGGTTCCATAAAGATCTAGCATTCAAATCATTTCTAATGAATTCCTATAGTAAAATCATTTGCAATGAATTTCTATAGATGCTTTTAGTATTTGCTATATCACTAGATATGGAATCATTAGAGGGAATGAAAGTTTGGATGGATTTGTTTCATGAATCCTAGCCATAATATTCCAGGTTCCATAAAGAGCTAGCATTCAAATCATTTCTAATGAATTCCTATAGTAGAATCATTTGCAATGAATTTCTATAGATGCTTTTAGTATTTGCTATATCACTAGATATGGAATCATTAGAGGGAATGAAAGTTTGGATGGATTTGTTTCATAAATCCTAGCCATAATATTCCAGGTTCCATAAAGAGCTAGTATTCAAATCATTTCTAATGCATTCCTATAGTAAAATCATTTGCAATGGATTTCGATATATGCTTTTAGTATTTTCTATATCACTAGATATGGAATTATTAGAGGGAATGAAAGTTTGGATGGATTTGTTTCATAAATCCTAGCCATAATATTCCAGGTTCCATAAAGAGCTAGTATTCAAATCATTTCTAATGCATTCCTTTAGTAAAATCATTTGCAATGGATTTCTATAGATGCTTTTAGTATTTGCTATATCACTAGATATGGAATCATTAGAGGGAATGAAAGTTTGGATGGATTTGTTTCATAAATCCTAGCCATAATATTCCAGGTTCCATAAAGAGCTAGCATTCAAATCATTTCTAATGAATTCCTATAGTAAAATCATTTGCAATGGATTTCTATAGATGCTTTTAGTATTTGCTATATCACTAGATATGGAATCATTAGAGGGAATGAAAGTTTGGATGGATTTGTTTCATGAATCCTAGCCATAATATTCTAGGTTCCATAAAGAGCTAGTATTCAAATCATTTCTAATGCATTCCTATAGTAAAATCATTTGCAATGGATTTCTATAGATGCTTTTAGTATTTGCTATATCACTAGATATGGAATCATTAGAGGGAATGAAAGTTTGGATGGATTTGTTTCATGAATCCTAGCCATAATATTCCAGGTTCCATAAAGAGCTAGCATTCAAATCATTTCTAATGAATTCCTATAGTAAAAATCATTTGCAATGAATTTCTATAGATGCTTTTTAGTATTTGCTATATCACTAGATATGGAATCATTAGAGGGAATGAAAGTTTGGATGGATTTGTTTCATGAATCCTAGCCATAATATTCCAGGTTCCATAAAGAGCTAGCATTCAAATCATTTCTAATGAATTCCTATAGTAAAATCATTTGCAATGAATTTCTATAGATGCTTTTAGTATTTGCTATATCACTAGATATGGAATTATTAAAGGGGATGAAAGTTTTGGCTATTTGTTTAATAATTACTACCTGTGATATCGTAAGTCAAAGAAATTGTTATTTTCTGTTTACGATAAATAAATATATTAGAAGCAGATTTTCCATGTAAATTACATATTTATTTTTTGTTAAAAGATTGATAGAAGATTTTGAAATGAAAGCATCATTTATTTTTGTACTCATTCCAAGTCCGTTATCAGAGAACATATTACCATGATGACAAGGAAAACAACTGCAAAAAGAGAAATAAAGAAAGAAAGATAGGAAGAAAAGCGTCATAGCACCCAGAAATGTTTATCTATGATCGATAGACATACACTTTAATGTTAGTTTGGAAATTATCGAACAAATACACCTTCGTCATCGATGGGAAATCAAGTGAGAAAAGAAAGATAAAACAAGAAAGAAAGAAAGAAAGAAAGGACTGAAGATAAAATAAGAAAGAAAAAAGTTAAACTGAAAAAGAAAGACGGAAAGAAAAAAGGAAATAACGATAAATAAATAAATAAAGAAAGAAAGAAAGAAAGAAAGAAAGAAAGATAACTATGGTGGAAAGAAAGAAAGAAAGAAAGAAAGAAAGACAGATAGAGAAGAAAGATAAAATAAAAGAAGAAATAGAATAAAGATAAAATAAAAAAGAAAGCAAAAGAAAGACAGAAAGAAAGAAAGAAAGAAACGGAATAAAGACAAAATAAGAAAAAAAGAAAGATAAAATAAAATGAAAGGAAAAAAGAAAGAAAGGTAATAAAGTTAAAGAAAGAAAGAAAGGAAAAAGAATGAAATAGAAGAAAAATAAAATAAAAAAGAAAGAAAGATCAAATAAGAAAATAACAAGAATTGCAATATGAGCTCTGCTAAAAACATGTAATGATAACAGCAAAAATTGCAATATGAGCACTGGTAAAAATGTAAACTGAAGACATTAGGTTTATAATACCCAGAAATTCATACAGAGATGTCCTCATGGCACAGTGGATAAAGGCGTTAGTTAGATCCAGTGACAGGACCCAAAGAGTTTGAGTTCAATAAGAACTTGGAGAGGGGAATTAACAGGAGATAACTGACAATTGACATCCATTAAACATGGCATGTGGAACTAGAACAGTCTACCCAAGAGAGCGAAATAAAGGGTTCAGCCCGACATAACAACCACCTGAAGAAGGCCGGAGCGTACAACGGCCGAAACGGTGTGATACATATGGCGACAAAGATGAGGACAATAGTCAAAAAATTGTAAATAGTGTACATAATACATCACCTCAGAAATATAGACAGATACTGAAGGGCCGAGACGTTGTGATAAATATGGCGACAAAGATGAGGACAATAATCCGAATAATGTAAATGGTGTACATAATACGTCATCTCAGAAATATAGACAGATACTGAAGGGCCGAAACGTTGTGATAAATATGGCAACAAAGATGAGGATAATAGTCCGAATAATGTAAATAGTGTACATAATACCTCATCTCTGAAATATAGACAGATACTGAAGGGCCGAAGCGTTGTGATAAATATGGCGACAAAGATGAGGACAATAGCCCGATTAATGTAAATAGTGTACATAATACCTCATCTCAGAAATATAGACAGATACTGAAGGGCCGAAACGTTGTGATAAATATGGCAACAAAGATGAGGATAATAGTCCGAATAATGTAAATAGTGTACATAATACCTCATCTCTGAAATATAGACAGATACTGAAGGGCCGAAACGTTGTGATAAATATGGCGATAAAGATGAGGACAATAGTCCGAATAATGTAAATAGTGTACATAATACGTCATCTCAGAAATATAGACAGATACTGAAGGGCCGAAACGTTGTGATAAATATGGCGACAAAGATGAGGACAATATTCCGAATAATGTAAATAGTCTACATAACAAAAACATGTT